CGAATCCAAATACATAATAGAAAAACCACACAAAACAATAATAGATCCAGCCATTTAATCAAAGACATCAAAGCCTCATTATGTAGATGATCCACCATGTTCATTGATGAACTTTTCAATCTAAAGCTACGTACGTTGTTCATTTCGGCCATAAAAGTCTTTGACAATCTTTCATTCTACACCAAATAATCAAATACATTATTCAATATGCCATCATCAAAGTCAATAATCTTTATCATCACATCATAAAGCTCATCTATATCAACTTCATTTTTGGTTAAAGCATGAATTGCTTTGGCCACTTCTCTCACTTTCATAGCTAAAATAGATGTAATTGATTCTTTAGTTTCACGACCTCTTTTTCAATGGCTTCTCTTTCTAGAAAGCATACTAGTTGATGATGTTTCTTTTTCTATGCCTATGTCAACTTCATCCGGTGTTATAGATTCTATTTCAAAACTCTCGACCAAGTTGATATCATTAAAGGACTTGACAAAACTTTATGTGGCCATATCTTGTCTAGCAACAAGTGTCGTCTCATCGTACATCTCAATTTTTTTATTCAAGTATTTCTCATGGTTAGGATATGCCCGTATATTAAAAGAAATTAGAAAACATCTTATAAATACAAAAAAAATTAAGTTGAGACATTAAAAAATGATTTTATATTATCGTTATCTCTTCATCATAAACTTGTTTTGAGACAATTATCATTTTCAACTCGTCATTTCATCCAAAACCACTTTTCTCTTGTAGTTGTGTGATAATTTTTTCATTCTTTTTTTATTGTTCTCAAATGATTTTTAGCATAATCAAGAGAATGATCTAATCCAAATTTCAAGTTGATATCTCTTACTACACATGCAAAGTTGTCTTGTTTGAAAGTGGAAGAAGGTTTATTCCCTTTCACAGACCTCCTCGACTAAAATCTCAAGCAAAATATAAGACATAGGTTTTGTCCACCTAAAATGTTCGGCTAAGCATTTTTTTGCTTTGCGTTACTCATTTCTACAAGCATTACCAATACACGTAATTTCAAAAAATAAAAATAAGAAAAATAGTCAAATAACATCATCACTTATTCAATAAACTCGAATGAAAAAAAAAGTAAAACAACAACAGAAATTGCTAAAATTATAGCAAAAACAGAAGGCAAAAGACATCCTAGAAATGTGTAAATCCACCTTCTAATCTCAATTGAGGTAATTATAACTAAACTAATACAAAGTGATAAAAAAAATTACACTCAAATTTGTAAACGATTGATGACCAAATTAAAATGAAACTCTAATTTATCCCATAAGGTATACATTCAGTCAAAAAGTAAAACATAAATAAATTTTCTTGACCGCAAAAAGAATTACAAAATTAATGAGCTCGGTTTTAGTAAAGCATGCATTTGAGCCCATATGCATCTCATACGAAATTTAAAGCAAGACCCATATTTTGTAAGAAAAGGCCTAATTAGATCAATACCGATCAAGTCTATCTTCTTCTTCTTTTTTATTTTTTGATGTCATTATATATTTTTTGCATACATGTGTGGACTACGGACCGAAGATCATGATATTCCTTTTTCATTGATCTTTACTTTATATAATTTCTAACTTTACAACATAAATTTAGTGCTTAAACCTCTCTAAGATACTATTATTTTAATAATCTCAATCAAGTCCAACTATTAGTACACTTTTATAAAATACTTTTTTTCCTCATTAACTTGCCCGAAGAGCTTAAACCCATCACTAACATGATATACATGCATGACGAAGAAAAATATTTGTTGATCAACTTAGTAGAATTAAACATACATAATTCAACACATAAAAGGAATAAATAAGTGGTCCTATACTAGTTCATTCATATATATCTATCAAATTCATGACCTTATCCAACATGTTTAATCACCCACTCAAGGGTATATAAAAATTAAGATGTATAATATGGACTCAATTTACTTTCTTAAATGAATTTTGTTCAATATAAAAAACAACAAAATAAGTTAATACATCGAGAATTACGACAATCTTGCATGTCCATTCTCGATCGATTATTAATTTCTTGCTGAATTTTGTGAAAACTAAAGCTACATGTCATTTTTCAAAAAGGTTTCGAAGTACTCATCTAGAAGGTGGTATAGCTAGCCTAGCTACCATGTAATAACTCACTTTAGATTGGAAATACGAGTACACTAATTCTATTACTCCCTTACCCAGTTTTCCTTTACCAACCCTACTTCACTTCTATGTCCATCATTCCCATTTATAATTGTAAAATCCACTTGTTTTTACTATTCACATCACCATACCCACTCCAAAAACATCTCTTCCCTCACTTTCTACCCTATAAGCAATTGTAAAAGCAACAACAAAGAGCAAAAAAATCCCCAAACCAACTATAATAAAAGCTACCCCGGTCCAGATCGAGCTCGTCATTTTTTAACCAATTTCACTATTCTTTAGACACTAACCAAAACCAAAAACCAAAAACCAAGAAATTTAAGAAATTTAAGACACAAAAATAAACAAATTAGACAATATTACAAGAAATCGGATCTAAAGGAGGAAGGCCTATAAACAAATAAATCAGATAATATCATAAGAAATCATAGTAGATGTAACTCGTTCTTTTACAAGCGTTGTTTGCTCTACGGTGGCATTAGCTTTGTTGTGATGACGTTGGGTGACAAAGACGTCCTTGGGTCGGTTGCGAGCAACAATGGTTGGGTGAGTTTAGGTAAGAATAGAGATGGACGACAGTGGAGCTCCAGCAAGAAATATTTTCTCGTTTTCTATTTCGAAGTCATTTTCCCAAAACTAAGCTTTTAATTTTCCTTAATTGAAAAATAGACTTCATTAACTTTTTTCCAAGAAAGCCAATCAAACATGAGAAAATGGGAAAAACAAGTTTCAGGAACTTGTTTTCCCCGAAACAAACGTAGCCTAGGCGATACTAAGATATACAAATATAAAAAATAATTAGTAATGATATATGTACTAAATAGATATATTTTGCTATCTCGTGGATATGCAAAGCAAAACCAACGAGAATATACTAATCATTGTAATTATGTTTGTTAATTATAAGAACAATTAATCAACCTTTGGATTGATCTCGATATGTCTTATATGAACAAATTTCAATTTAAACACAACAAATACAATTACATAATTTGTTGTCATTTAAAACTTTAGACTTTATAGGTAATTAAAAATAATTTGTAATCTAAAATTTATTCATACTAAGATTTGAATACTTTGGTGACTCACAAATCATTTTTTATACAAAATTTTGAATTTCAAATACACTACTTGAGCAATTTAATGACATATATATACTAGTCTCGGAAAAAAATTAATATTTCAAAACCTTATATACTCGATCCATCCAAAATATAATTAAAATCAATCAAAATTACTTGCAACGAAATTCATAATTTGAATTTTAAATTTACAAATAAAAAAGAAACCCATAATCTTAAACAAAAAATATGAGTTCCTAAATCATACTCTAATACCACATGAAATAATAAAATTATAATTATGTGTAACAATAAGATTTAATTCATCATAATCTTATAACTTGATTTTTTCACATAATTTTAAAATGAAAACATATCTTGATTCATATTTAGACCTTTGAATTGAGAAGCGAGATAATACATGAAGAATAATCTCTTTCTTCATCTCTTTCTAAATGATGTATCATTTAGTTTTCACTAGTCGGATACCGCGCTACGCTATAGGTAGACAATCGTTACATATGTAGAGTTAACAATTCGTATGGTGTAATGTTAGTAGAAAGTTTTATTTTTCGTGATATATATATATATGTATATATATATATATATATTGAATATTGAGAGTATAGAGAATGAATAGAAACCCACCTAAATTATAGAAATATATTGAAGTCAATAGATTAAAATAAAAACTATAACAAAATTGGTTCGATAAATTCGAATAAATATATATATAAAAATAAAACTTGTGAATTTTTTAACTCATTATTTAAAAAAAAATTGAGTCAAACTATCTAATATACACTTTTGGCTCTCTCTCTCTCTCTCTCTCTCTCTCTCTCTCTCTATATATATATATATATATATATATTAAAAACTCATTTAAAAAATATAAAAATAATTTATTGTATAAATTATAATAATATATTTTAAAAAATAAAATATTGACGTTTTAAAATTTTATCCCAAAATTCATATATTAAAAAACCAAATTTATTAACAAATAAAATTATATCAAAAAATTATCAGCCATTACAAATTTACAACAAAATAAAAATAAAAAATATTTCAAAATGGTCATTGTAACCTAAAAATATGTTTGTTAATCATGAGCCCTATATATATATATATATATATATATATATATATATATAAGGAAAAAAACAAAAAAAAAATAAGGAAAGAATGCCGAGCACGCAGGCTTGGGTCTATGAAAAAAATATAAAAATGGAGGCTGCTAGGCTGGGCAGCCAAGGCCTGGCACGTTCACGCCTTGGCTGTTGGTCAACCCAATAGCAACAGAAGGGGGAAAAAAAGGAACAAAAGAAAACAAAAGAACTAAGGTACTGCTCATAACTGTAGACAGATCCCAATCTTTTTAGTTATATGTAATTAGTATTGTTATTTTTTCATTAAGAGACAGAAATAGGACTAGACTTTTCCTTTTTAAGTTTTAACCTAAGTCTTTCCTCAAAATTTGATCATGTATTATTATTAATTACATGTAATATAATTAATTGGATACATGGATCATCATTAATAAGATGTATTAATTATGATATATGTATATTTAATTAAATATATTTTAAATATTATGTATCTTATAAGTTAAAATTATTTTTATATTTTAGATACATACGTCGTGTGTTATTTAATGATATATATATATATATATATATATAGAGAGAGAGAGAGAGAGAGAGATATGAGCCATAATTAATTTTATACAGTTCTTCTTCATCGTCCAAACCTCAGCAACATGGACCACCAACACAGCCTCATGCCTCCTGCAGCAATCCCAAGCACCACTGTAATTTTCCCTCGCGATCTGGCTTAAGAATTTGTGTGGAGTGTTGTCAAATTAGAGGGTCGAAATGACCCTTCACAAATCTCCCACTTTATGGGCTGAAGCAGATTCATGAGATTGTGGGTCATTTTATAGATAACCAAAGACCGAATTGAAGGAATGACAGGAGCTAATGTTCGAACTGTAGACCCCTCCTAAAGACGAATGCTTGTGATTTGAAGATTTTTTTTTTAAAAAAAAGTTAAATATTTCAATTTATTCTTATGTAATAGCTCATTTATTATTTTCTGAATACTGTTTAAATTTTCGATAATTTTTTCTACCATAATTTTTTAACCAAAAAGATTTTAAAAATAAAAATGCAAATCATCTAACTTGAAGTATGATTTTTAATCAAAAGTGTTCCGATCAAAAAATTTATTTATTGTCCAAAAAATTAATCAAAAACATATATTGAAAACTTAAAAATTATTTAATGACAGAATAATGCAATTAGAATAACATGGACATATTAACAACTCGTTTTATTATATAAATTCATATTGATCTATTTATTTTTTAAAAAAATAGCAAAGAATATAATGGATTTGTTGCTTTGCCTCAAGAAGTATGTGGTTGATTAGGGTGGATTTCTGCCAACAATTTTGGAGTACTTGAGTGTTAGAATTTTATTTTTACATATTTTTTAAACTTATTTTTATGGTTTTTTTTTTTCAAGGACATGAGTTGTGTTTTTAGACTATTAAATGTAGTCAAAATTAAGATAAGAGTCTTTTTTACCCAAAAGAAAAAAAAATAGTAATCAAATTAAATTTTTTAAATATTATAAATAAATAAATAAATATATATATATATATATATGTGTGTGTGAATTTGACTAAAATTTCATGGTGTTTTTATGTAATTTAGTTTTTAAAAAATAGAACAGAGAAGAAGGGAACAAAAAGACTTCAAGTACCTATCGGACGAAGATAAGAGAGTGAAATGAAGTCAGCAATATCATCAACACTCTTGAGCTCCAAAAATCTCCATTTAAATCATCTCTCCTTTCTCTCGCCTGCCCTCTTCCATTCTCCGCTCAAAATCAAACACACACTTCCCTTTTCTCTTCCTACAAAATAAGAGCAATAAAATCAGTTACAACCAGAAACCCCAAATTCACACTTCTTGTACTCCAATAATGGCGTCTTCTTTCAAACCTGAGCAAGCCAGGGCCCCTCCCGCTCTCCCCTTGCCCGTGCCTCCTGTCACCAAGGCACGATTCATTCATTCATCGATTGATTTCTCTACATTTACTTACTTTAAAAAAAAAGAAAAATTAATTTTGCTGATTGGTTCTTCTTTTTTATTTGCTTGCTTTCTATGTCCATGTGATATGCAGTTTAAGATTGGGCTGTGTCAGTTATCGGTGACGGCGGATAAAGAGAGGAATATTGCGCACGCTCGCAAAGCAATTGAAGAGGCTGCTGCAAAAGGTGCCAAGCTTGTTATGTTGCCTGTAAGTTTTGCTTCTTCTTTTTTCCTCAAAAAAATAAAAATAAAAATGTAATAGCCGTTCAGCTTTGTGTTTTAATTGCTAAACGTAATCGTGATTCTATTACTGACTAAAGGAGATTATAAATGTGATTTTAGTGTTTTTGATGTATAAATGTGGCTAGGGGGTATTGTTCTAAAAATCAAACGGGGCTTTTTTTTTTTTTCTCCCCGAATTGGGGTATGGGGACCTTTTCTGAAAGAAAGAAAATACTAACTTTCATGTTTTGTACTGATGATATGGCTTTGTTCTTCATGTTTGTTTCAGGAAATATGGAATAGCCCGTATTCGAATGATAGTTTCCCAGTTTATGCTGAGGACATAGATGTAGGTGGTGAGGCGTCGCCTTCGACAGCCATGCTCTCTGAAGTTGCTCGTCTTCTGAAGATCACAATTGTTGGTGGCTCTATACCAGAACGTTCTGGGGATCGACTGTATAATACATGTTGTGTCTTTGATAGTGATGGAAAGTTGAAAGCCAAGCACCGGAAGGTATGCATAAAAGCATGCTGAGCTATTGAATTCAAACTTCTTCACTCTAGTATACTGGCAGAGTTTAGTGATTATCGAGATCAGTCGTATGATGCTATTTGATCATGATCACAATCACAATCTCCTAAGTCAAATTTATGTCTTCATTGTTTGTGTGTATCTGCAGATACACCTTTTTGATATTGACATTCCTGGGAAGATCACTTTTATAGAATCAAAGACTCTAACGGCAGGGGAGAATCCGACTATTGTTGACACAGGTTTGTTGTTCCTCTAAATTTCAATTTTCAAGTCTGAGAATTTATTACTCCTTTTCCGTGCTCCTGTTAAGATACCATATACATTTCTGATAATGATCTTTGCAAGGTTCAGCAGCAAAGATTTTTACACTGCATTCCGGAACACTTATTTCTGGTTTTCTGGTTTTCAAGTGTTGTCATTAAGATGACTTGAAAAACTCTTAAGAGATGCCCATATGCTCATGCAGCTTAGAATTCTTGGAATTACTTGGGTATTCTTGATTGGTTCTGAATTCTGATCTAACTATAGTGCAATGTCATATCTCTTTGGTTTCAAATGTTCTTGTAAATATTGTATAATGGAAAGACAAAGCTTGTGTTATGTTGTTTTTGGATTAGTCTACTGAGATTCCCATCACAAATACCTTTTCCACTTAAACCATTGAATGCAGCTTGGCCACCACTTTAAATCATCTGGTTCATGCTCCTGATTCAGTTGATGACCCGGTAGTATCTCATTCTGGATTGTTGGTTTCTGTTTGAACAGTATAAAAACTGCTCAGGAGACCTATTGGAAATGCAAGTCTCCAACGTAAATGTTTTCGTTTGTAGAACATCAGACAATTGAGAATACATAGGGGCAGTCATTAAATTATTGCTTTTTTTAATGTTCAATAGCAATTCTTCGTTAAGTGTTTTGTTCATCCTGTTCATCTGTTTCACACCTCCATTCTCGGTTGAGAGAAACATCTTATTGTTATTTTGTTTTCTTGGGATTGGGAAGATAACCATTGGTGGGTCCTTGCAGAAGTTGGTCGTATTGGTATAGGAATCTGCTATGATATTCGTTTTCAGGAATTGGCAATGATATATGCAGCAAGAGGTTTGTTTCTTCCTTCACTTGACCAGTGACATGCTTTTCTTGTTCTTGTAGATTTGCCTGCTGATAGTGGATTATTTGTTGGCAAGTAGCTATAGTTTAGGTGATTATCTCAGCATATAAACTATCACTTGTAATGAGAAACACGATAACTATCTATTCATATACTTGCAACTGTAGGAGGCCTCCGTGCCCGTAATACTTGGTCAGTTGCGAGATCCTTCTTCCCTCCGCTAATCGTTAGCAATGCTTAAATAAAATCAAGTCCTATGTAGAAGCTTGGGAGGCATGAGGATCAGATCTAGTCATAATACTAACATACCATTACTTACAGGTTTTATTAGAATTTGCTTAATCTAAACATACCTATTGGCATCTATTATTACTCAACATGTTATACAACTAATGAATTTAGCAAACAAGGATTAAAAAGTCTAGTACACTCTTTAAGTTGTGTAATAATAATTTTTCTTATCCTAAACACTATATTTGTCATGTTCATTGGCAATTATCTCTCTTTTTCAGCACTTTCATCGAAGATCAAAGATATGACATATTTTGGAGTTACATAGCTTTGTACGATGCTTTTCTATAAAGCTATCATCTTTAATATCATCCATTGTTTCTCTGTCACTGATGTAATTGTCAGACTGTTATGCTGCTGATCATGATGATTGTTGTGTTTCTAAATAAACTGAATGCTGACAGTAGCTGCTTTTGGTACCAGGTGCTCATTTGATATGCTATCCTGGGGCATTCAACATGACCACTGGACCATTACATTGGGAGTTATTGCAGAGGGCAAGGTACTGCTATATTTACATGGTTGAGTATATCTGGAATTGTTCTCTTGTACTTCAACCAAGTTTATCTTATGCTTTATTTCAAGTCTTCATTTTTTTTTTTTTCCAACATTAAGATTTTAACTTCCCTTCTCAAATTTCACCTCCTTTCTTTGATAAGTCAGTGATCTTGATGCCAGAAACACAAAAGAGTGTGTTTGATATTTTTTAGCGCTAGATTATGGTTAGGGAATCTTGCTTACTACCTTCTTGTTTCATTTGCAGGGCTGCGGATAATCAGGTAATGTATCAAACTCACCTTTTTGTAATGTGGAAATTATAGAGCTTCAAATGTTTTAAGTATCAGTATTTTGAACTTTTGAATACTAGTATAGGTTGAAGCAAAAACTTGCGCATAAATTCTATCTTTCCTTTTGATAAAAAAGAAGATTATATTCAATTAAAAGGTAAATCTGAGCTCATATTTACAAGGGGAAGGATGAGTCATCCCCAAAAAGGAACAGAAAGGGAAGACAAAACTTTACATGATGGACAGATAATATTTAAAAACCAGTCTTAAAACCAGAGCATAATAACAAATTCACTTAAAATTGACTTCTCTGCCAGCAAATACATGATTTTCGGATGATGCCTCCTTGTATTAATTAATTTGGTCACTGCATCAACCTCTTAGTCTGTGCTTTTGGGGTAAAATGTGGGGCTTCACTATAGTGACATGGTAACTACATGTAATTATTAGATCTTGTAATTGCTATTCTGGGTAGTTCTCTGTATTGCACCAGAAGATATGTTTCCTTCCAGTCTAAACTGCTCTTTCCGTTTCCAGCATCAGCTGTTCATGGAAAGATTAAAAAGGAAAAGAAATGAGGGGTGGGGGAACTTAAAGGAGATTCAAATTATTAGTACAAGGGATTGCTGGCTTCAATATTAGTTTGTGTGTAAACATATGCAGATTGAAACATTTATAGGGACTGCACGTGCTGCTTTAGTATCTCCCGGTGTATCAAAATGTGATTTTCCAAACATTTTGCAGCTTACTTCCTTCATAACCTGAAACCAGCAACCTGCTGAAAGAAATTGCAAGCTCTCTTAATGTAACACCACATATTTTCACAAGTTTGGTTTTTCTGTAGAAACCTGTCAGGAGTTTCTCACAGATGCTTCTTTTGTGGTAACTTCTAAATGACAGCTATATGTGGCAACTTGTTCACCTGCTCGTGATGTTGCAGCTGGTTATGTGGCCTGGGGCCATTCCACTCTTGTAGGACCTGTGAGTGAGTTAAGCTTTTCTTCATTCCATTGATCTCTTTCTGCAACTAAGCTAATCACAAAAAAAAAAAAAACTATATTACAGTTTGGAGAAGTTCTGGCAACAACTGAACATGAGCAGGATATAATTATAGCAGAGATTGACTATTCACTACTTGAATTGAGAAGGTGATGTCCCTTCCAATATCGCAGATTCTCATTGTTTCCAGATGTTACTGGTAATATTCGTCCACTGATTTCTCTTTATATTCTTGTTTTGTGTCAAAAACATTCAGGACAAACCTCCCCTTAACGAAGCAAAGAAGAGGTGATCTTTACCAGCTGGTGGATGTTCAGAGAATGAAAAGTGAGTCTTAAGTCTTAACATTGTCGAAAGACTGCTGCAGAGGCTGAAAGTGAGTCGTAACGATTATCGAAAGACTGCTAAAACGGATGAAAATTCCAGGAACAAGTTATTTGGTGAAAAACTATCGTAGGCCTCATCTTATCAATGTCATCAATGAAATTGTATTGGATAAAAGTTATGAACCGAAGTTCAAAATAATTCCCCAAAAAAACTGGTACTTGCAAATTTCAAAGGAATAAATTGCCCTTTTTGCATTCTTGTGAATTAGTGAAGGTAGATAGCTTTCCTAATTATCTCAGATAAGTCGATATTGGATAGGAAATGAGGATAGATGTGCACAAATTATGCCCGTATAATTCTGTCAGTTTGAACAAGAACAATATGCCTGTAATAATAGATACCTTAGTCCACATTACTGACACTCCATCCATATAATTCTCCGCTAGGAAGAACATGCTCGGTTTGAACTTGACCACTTCAGGTGGCTGAAGACCTGCTATTTGTAGGAAGTTCAGATCCAGGATAAATTCATGTATTGAAGGTTCTACATATCTGTAAGTTGGCGTATTATTAGTGTGGGCAAAGTGTGTGATGTTCAATCCCAGACATAAGTTTGCTTCAGTTTTTTATTTGATCTCGGTTCAGATCTGCAAAAAAATTATCCTGCCTTCCTAATAATCGGGATGTTTGGTGTTAAAGAATATTTGGTGAATGTATAAAAATTATTAACAAAAAAATGTTCAAACATTGTAGCATGTACCATTGCACACTATTCTTCATGCATAGCCGGTTTTGACTGTGGATGGAGACTTAACTTCACTGTGCATTTCCACGCTTTACTATGCATTTTCAATTTATTGTGGGATTTTTCTGATTTTTAAGCATTACATTTTGATTTCTAATTTTTTTTCCAAATACTTTTGTTTTGATTTCCAACAATTAAACAATTAGAAAAAAGCTTTTCTGTTTAAAAATATTTATGCCATATTTTTCCTGGCAATGTCTTAATATTCTATTTCTGTAGGTAAAATAGAATACAACAAGTTTACTTAAACACTCTATTAAAAACTATCTACAACTCTTAATGAACAAAAGAGAATAACTAACTAGAACTCATCTATACTTTAGTGTTGCAGTTTGTTGCAACTCCTGTTTACACAAATTGACAGTTGATCATGCTGCAAAGATTCCACTGTTAATTTGCTTCTGAAAAATTGAAACCTGGCTGTTGGTAGTGGCTTAGTCAATATATCAACAATATTATCTCGAACAAAAAAAAATCTATTTTAATATGCTTTGTGCGTGCATGAAACAACAGTAAAGATGCGTTAGCCACTAACTAATACGTATTCTGCATTTGTAGAACTTCTAGATACTGTTTTATGCTTTGAGGACTTCCAAGAAATGAGATTGTTGTCAAGAAATATTGCAAATTCCCCTATGAATTTCTATCATCTAAACTTTGTTGTCAAGAAATATTGCAAATTACCCTTTGAATTTTCTATCATCTAAACTACCTGGCCAATCAAAGTCAGAAAAACCTTGCAATTGGTTGGTGCTATGTTTAGTAAGATGCAAATCATATTTCATAGATAGGTTGGTTAGGCTATGTTTATTAAAATGCAAATCATATTTCATAGTATGCTTTAATAGAATAGTATGCGTTTTACAGTTATCTAGTGTTTTTTTTTTTTTTTGGAACATGTTTGTTAACAACAAAAACTACATAGTATGTACGAGCACCAGCAATTTGTCGGTGTAATGTTACGTTAAATAAAACATACAGTTTGGAAGTTGTTGGTATAGGAGTACTCACAATTCGACGTGATTCCATACCTGCTTTTTCTCAACATGTCGGGCCACATATTTTTTTTCAGATAGAAGAAGTCCGTCTTTCACTTTGAAAGCATGAATGCCTAGGAAATAACTCACAGTTCTTAGATCACTAATGGAGAGCCTCCAATTGAGAGTTTTGATAATTGAAAAAGTAGTAGTATCTGAATCCCTATAAATAAGTATGTCGTCCGTATAGATCAGTAGCCACAAGTGACTACTATCTTTGGTATAAAAGAAGAGAAAGCAATTTGTTTTGGATTACTACTGAAAATCTAACTCCAATAAAAAATCAATAAGACATGCAAACCATAACTGCAGAGACTGTTTCAGACCGCATAAAGAGCGATTAAGCTTGCGCACATGAAGTTGGATAACGTTCATCAACCTAAAGGTTTCTCTTTGTAAACTGTTTCATCCAAGAAGCCATTAAGGAGGGCATTGTCAACATCAAGCTGGCAAATTGTCCACAAATTTGTGACTGCCAAGGAGAGAACACGCCGGATGTTGGCAGCCTTAACAATCGGGCTAAAGGTTTCAGAATAATCCATCCCTTCTTGTTGATGGAATCCCTTGGCCACTAGCCTTACCTTATGCAATTCTATACTGCCATCGGCTTTAATTTTGGTGCTACAAACCCATTTACACACCATCACATTCGTTGCATGTTTGTGTGGAACCAAAGGCCAAGTGTCATTCAGTAGTAAGGCATTGATTTCAACAGCCATTGCTTATCTCATTCATGAAACTTGTGTGTTTGAGAGAAACAAGTCAGTTCCAATGGGATAGAGGAAAGAACGGTAGAAGTATTAGTTTCCAGAGGACCCATTGTCTGAAGCCTCATGCCATGTTTACGAACCGGACGAGTTACTGTCTGTTTTGAATGCTGAAGATCAGAAGCATGTAGGTTAAGGACAAGATTCAATCCTACTTTATGATTGGTCATGCCATGGTTAAAGAGTAAATAAGATGATCTACGGGGTGAGTTAGACGAGGGACTAACAGAATGGATAGGAATTGTAGGAGGACTGATACTTGACGAGCTAGATAAAGAACCTGCAATACTCAAAATTTTGAGAACTAGATGATGACTGACTAGGACGCGTGAAAGATTGGCAAGGGTAAGAGTATGGGTCTGTTGCTGAAGAGGACAAAGTTAAATAGTACTTGTCGCGTAGACTAACTGGCAGTTTGTGTTTAAGAGGGGAAATCTCATTGGACGTTGTAGGTAACAACGGGTTTTACTGTAAAATATATTTCAAGCTTAGCAACAGCTTATTGGGTTGAAGAAGAGGCAGTATTTGTATGGAGGATGAGGGGACAAGTTGCATTTGATCAGAGGGACTTTACTGATGTATAACAATTTGCAGCAAAGTGGAATTGTGCTTAACGGGTGCAGGGATGTTGGGCCAAGATGACGCAGGACAAGCCTTTTAGTGGGACAAGGAGATGAGCTGGACAATTGGGCTGTGGGACTAGTGTTTGCAGTTGATGATATGCTGTAGTTTGTTGGGGGCAGGGAAATGGGCTGTCAGAAAAGGTAGCCTAGGCTTGGTATTGGGCTGGGCAATTGAAGTTGGCGTGAAGGAAGAGAGGGTAGCTGTAATAACCCGTCCTAAAAATGAAATTTAACTTTGTAACTTATATACTTTTAGAATTAAAAATATATATATAAGATAATTTGAGTATTTTTGAATTTTATTAAGTGAGACATATCATAATAGTGGGTATTCTGAAGTTTGAATAGAAGTTTAAAATAAGTTTTTTTAAAAAAGACAGCTTGTTAAAAAAAAAAAAAACCGAGATAGCTAATGCCCCACACTTTTTCTTCTTCCCCTCCCTTTCTCTTCCTCTTCCACTCTCTCAACTTCTTCCCATTTCCCTCCTCCGATTTATAAGTTAAAACCTTATCCAATTAACTTAGAAAAACCATAAAAACAAATTAATTAAAGTGGGGTTTAGTTGGATTAAGCTTTGAAGGCTTGAAAGGATGAGGATTGAAATTGGGGTTGAAGAGCCAATTGTCAAATGTAAGACTTTTTTGTCATTTGGTCTCTAAATGGAAATATTTGTATGTGTTTATTGATGATTTTGAAGTCAATTTGTATTGGCTTGTTGTTAGAATGAAAGATTAAGATAAATTATCGTTAAGGTTTTAAAGCCATTTTGAGAAAAAGTCAATTAAATGATTCTAATTGATTAAGTGATATTTAATTATTTTGGGTTAGTGATTTATAACGTTGAATTAAAGTTGAATAGGGTAAATTTGACTAATTTGAGAGGTTGAAGATGATGAATAATGAAAAATTCGAAAATTGGGATTTGAATTGAAAACAATTTGGAAAAAATAAAAAATTAAGTTATATAAATACAATTAAAGATGAATGAAATGAATTAAAATAGAATTGATGATTTAATTGAAAAATTCTCAATTTGATTAAGATGATGAGTTGTATAGAAAAGATGGTACATATGAAGATTAAATGAGAATTGGTGATGGATGATTATTTGTAGGAAAGTGTAGTTGTCTAGAAGTGGTTGAAAGAATAAAATTTTAGTTATATTCATCGTTTTGAACCTTTTCGATCAGTTTCATTCTTATAAATTATCTTGTATTTCAATTTCTAGAATAATTCATTTTTTTGAATTATTCTTCGATATGTGATATTGATGATTATTTCACTATTTTGTATCCTTAGATTCTTCCGAGCGGGCGATTCCATCTAAGTAATCTTGATTTCATTCGATCCTTTAATTGTACTGTGAGTGAATAGTTTATAGCGTATTATGTTTTTAAATTCCTTCGATATATCCGTCATGCATCATTGATTTACCTATGACATAATCACATTCATTAGAACTTAGATAAGAACGAGATCTCCTTGTGCATTGGAAATGATTTAATATAAAAAAATGATTTGATATGATTTTAAAAAGGAATTTGAATATGTGTTTGAATAAATGTTTTACTTAAGGTTTGATACGGAGTTTAAGAAGTTAATTACTAGTTTAATTTATATTTACATTTTGATTTATTCATATAATTTTACTAAGTGTTTATTCGATATTGAATTGCATTATCAAATTTGATTTTGAGCATGAATTGTATTTGATATGTTGGATTTGGATATTTTTGAAATATATATAAGTTTATGTGATTGGTTACCTTAGGTACCTA